GCCCCGCTCTTCCCTTAAAGCTGAGGTCAGAGGTTTTCACAGATTGTGCTAGTGATACTTAACGGTACAAAAACAGTGAAAACCCTCATGCTGTTTTTGGAAGTCAGATATTTCAGAAACAAACAAAAGCTACAAAGTGGTAAATTCAGAGCAAAATATTAAGAATTGAGAAAATGGGAATATTTACAATGCAAGCAAAGGTGACACTTTTTAGGTTTAACTCTGTAAACTAGGAATCACTCTAAGATTATCTCAAGGAAATCAGTTAACTTAGGCAAGTGGGTGCAGGGGTGGTGCCCACACTTCGGGGGCCGCTGGGAAGGCACCTGGACAGCCTCCCCCAGAGGCTGTGCACATCACGCTGCCCTCGGGCGCACTTGCTTTAAGGCAGGTAGATTTTGCAGTAACCTCATTTTGATCAGGATATATCCAGAAGGAACAATTCCAAGGATTCTTAATGTTTTCGCATCTGATCCTGACCTGGACCCCCTCTGGTTGGTGTTCTGGGAACCATCTGGGGCTCCTATGGGCTCGGTGGGTGCGTGCCCCACCCCCACCCCCCGGTCCCCACGCCCAATTCCCTTGGTCCTGGGTTCTCTGATCTGAGGAGCCTGCTCACCTCAGCCTTTTCAACAGCCTGGAATTTTACACCTGGATATGGGGGAGGGGAGCTCAGTCTCTCACGTCCATGACAGCGAGAGGACCCATGTGGGCCGAAGGCCACTCTCACTGAGGTGCACCCTCCCTGGACGTTGACTCTGCTGGGCAAGGGCAGGGTCTGGACTGGCGACGGTGGTCTCTGGGCCCCTGAACGTGCCTCTGGGAGCGGCAGGGAAATGCATGTAGATTATTTCCACAACTGGAAAGTCCCTCTGTTAAAGTGAATGTATGAAGAGTCTGTATTGTTGAAATAATTTCCTGGGTTTTATATACCTTTCTAAATTTTTACTCACTCAGGGCTGTCTGTATTCGGGGCCAAAGCTGCCTCCATTTTGCCTCTAAGTTATTTTTATTTTTAAAAATCTTTAAACCTAAAAAAAAAAAAAAAAAAAACTTTAAACCTGCATTGATCTTGGGTTTCTGGTGAAAGGTGCTATTGGTTTACAGATGATTCTTGCTTTTATCCCCAAGCTCTGGCAAATTCTGTAGGGCTCTGAGATTAATGATGATAAAGCCAATTTGAAAAAAGTACAGCCCTTTCAGTTAGTGCACTGAAAATAATGTCAAACTCGATATGACCCTGATTTTAACATTAGGAGTGTTAACTGTTTAGATTCACGATTGTATTGATGGCACTGAAAGAATATGTTTTAAAATTTTCAAACTGATGTTACTACGCACACGGTGTCCTTTTGGGTTTCTGCGCCCGTCACCTTCAATGTACCCTTGGGGTGCTTTCCTCCAGTTGCAGGCCAGAGCCTCTGCGGCCACGACGACCCCGCCCTGGCTCAGACCTTCCGCAGGGCTGGCCTTGGCCATGGTCAGGTGGGTCCCTCAGGCGGGAGGGCCGTCCTGTGAGCCGCTCACTCTTGTCCTCAATACTGACCTGAAGGGAGAGGAATGTCTTTGTCCTGGAGGACAGGAGGAGAAGGTGCGGAAGCCGCCTGCACCCACCGGAGTGACATATCCCGTGAGCCTCCGGGACTGCGTGTGCACTGGCTCGCGGGGAAGCGCGTTCCCGGGGCCACTGTGCGCCATGCTCACTGGCCACTCTCCCAATTCAGGGTCTGATCGCTTTCTATAAAGAAGATCTATCCCTAGAGTTTCCTGATGAGAATTTCTTCAGTAAAGAAAGAAATTATCCTTAAATTGTATTAGCCTAACACAAAACACTGTGTCTTTAAAATGTAGCTATTTTAATTCCCTTTACTCTTGAGGGGGCACCGTAGGTGGTTTTTATTTGATGATTTGCTGACATTTAAGCTGAACACAGGGGTTTTTCCTTGCAAGGGGAGTTATCCTCTCCCAGCCCCTCCTGTTCGTCCTCCATGAACTGGAGGTGACCATTGTTAAGATTCATGTTGTTAGAATGACCTTAGAGGTCTTTGAAAAGCTACTTGAATTTCTGGCCATTACAGAGGGAAGAAAGTCTTTTCAGAAGTACTGAGAGTAATGGTACATTGTGTAAGCTTGCTTTGGAAAGATATTTATTTTTGTGTACTGTATATTAGGTGTGTGACCCAGTTGCATCCTGAATGCTTTCTATTTTTTGTGTTTCATGCAATTTTTGTTTATAGTCTTTAAATGTGCATTTCAGTTTATGTTTTTTTTCCTTTCTTTTTAAAATTCTGGCACTGCAGGCAGCATGTCGCAAAACAACTTGTTCTAAAGAAACTGCAAGTTTAAAAAATGTTATAGTAAATGTATTTCTGTATATTGGTGTATATATGTGTATACACGTGATGATACTGTATATTTACTGCATATAAGTCTAGGAAGCAGATGCTATATACACACCTGTAGCTGATAAACACCATTCGTAATAGTACAACCCAGATGCTATCTGTGCCCTTGATATGTTTGAACATTTTCATGCAAACGTTCGTGCCACAACTCACGTCTCTTTCCCGTTGCAGTTGAGTGCACACTTGTCAGAGTGTGTCAATGCCCCCAGCACCTGTAGTTTTAAGCGCTATGGCTGCGTTTTTCAGGTCAGTATCCGACATTTGTCCTTCCCAGTCACTGACATTCCACCATGAGAGAAAGTTATTCTATTAACATTTTAACATGCAAGCTCTGGGCTTTCAGTTTTGCCATGGAACTGAGTCACCTGCCGCACGGGTGACGTAAGCCACGTGCAGCGGATGTGGGTGCTCGCTTTCCAGGCCGGGGGTGTCGTGAGACTTGAGGTAGACACCTGTGCTGAGGGGGAGTTAATGCATTAGGAGAACGATTACATTCAAAACCAGTTAGTGAATGGGACAAGCAGGACTGACATTCGGTGGGGTTTCTAGGTAGATAGTTATGGAATTTGAGCTGTTACTTGAATGTAAGTCACTGGCAAACTGGACGTGGTTTCGGCAGTGTGTGCATCAGTGCACAGTTGTGAGGATCACACGTGCGTGTGTCCAGAGTGCATTCCATGTACATGCCACATGCACGTGCCCAGAGGGCCATGTGGAGAGGAGGTCTCTGCCACTGCCACACCTAGGCCGTGAGAAAGCTGTTCCTGGATTTTTGTTTTTGTTTTTGTTTTTTTAACACATCTGAGATGGCTAGTGAACTTGAACTAGTTTTCATTTAAATGTATATCTTGATCTTAAAACTATCAAAGGGCAGTATATACTCCAATTAAAGTATTTTATATTTGATTTTTATGTATTATCAATACATTATTGTGAAATCAATACAGAGATATTGGCATCTCAGTATTTTCTTAGAAAGTAAAAAGCCTGAGAGTAAGAATGACTATAGCTTTCCCTTTGCTTCAGTCTCTTATGAGACTGAGCCCTCACCACTGTTATGTCGTATGTACATATATATCATTCATTCTGTGTATGTATATATATATGTTTATATATAGCAATACTTATATCAACATATATATATGACTATTCTATGTACAGAGTATATGTTTTGGAGATCATTAAAATGCTTTCTGTGGCTTTTAAATATTCCAGTATCAAAACAATTATATTCTTACACCAATTACTTTGTTAAATACATGAAGCACTGTCTCCCACGCTTATTACGGATTCTGAGATGGTCTGCATCTTATGTACTCTGTAGATCGTTTATGTTCTGTATGTAACTTTCTAAGTATACATAGGATAGTTAGGAACAGTAATACAGTGTGTTTCACTGGTAAGTTAATACTTTAATAAATCATTTAGAATCTTACTTTGATTACATACTCACTAGATTATTATAGCAGCATCTAGCTATGACTTGCAGGTGTCTAAACATTTTCCATTTATATTTTGATGCAAAAAAATTTTAGGGAACAAAAATGATATATCTAAAATTTAGTTTCTTGATGTTACCAGTATGAAACGTAGGTAAGAAGGCCCTTGATAAGAAGCTTGAGGAGTGAAGCTCACGGCCTCGAGATAGTTGTTGTAGAATTCGCAGTGTCTCGGCTTTGAGCTGCTCCGTTCTTCTCGAAACAGCCTCCTCACCTGCACACAGTAGATCAGGGGCCACTGAGCCCTCCTGAGGCTGGATATCCCCTGTGAACCGTCCATGAATAAGTCACCCCTGCCTCGTGTAGTGCTGGATTGAGGTCGGCTGTGAGTCTCTCTGACTTCGGCGGAGTGAGGTTGGGTAACGCGTTGCCTCTTTATTCTCGCAGGGGACAAACCAGCAGATTAAGGCCCACGAGGCCAGCTCCGCGGTGCAGCATGTCAACTTACTCAAAGAATGGAGCAACTCTCTAGAGAAAAAGGTACGACACACCGCCTCCTGCTTTTGTTGGTCTTTAATACTTTCTTCAAATTATTTAAAGAAGAAAACCTTGTTTATAGTTAGTAATGGATTTTGCATAAAAGAAACAGCATCAAGAGTGTCAAAAAAGTAAATTCTCTTCAAGTGATCCTGAGTTTATAAAAGAAGCTGTGTGGTTTTGTTAGCTTGCTCTTTGGTTTTTTGTTTTGTTTTGTTTATAAATTTATTTACTTATTTATTTTTATTTTTGGCTGCATTGGGTCTTCATTGCTGTGAGTGGGCTTCTCATTGCAGTGGTTTCTCTTGTTGGGGAGCACGGGCTCCAGGTGCGTGGGCTTCAGTAGTTGTGGCACATGGGCTCAGTAGTTGTGGCTCGTGGGCTCCAGAGCGCAGACTCAGTAGTTGTGGCGCATGGGCTTAGTTACTCCACAGCATGTGGGATCCTCCCGGACCAGGGCTTGAACCTGTGTTCCCTGCATTGGCAGGCAGATTCTCAACCACTGTGCCACCAGGGAAGTCCTTGCTATTTGTTTTTTAATTGCCAAGCAGGTATGAAGTGCTTTTTTTAAAAAAAAAAAAAAAATCACATTGTGCTTCTCTTAGAATTGTTCTAGGACAGGGATTGTCACTTCCAACCCCCGTCCGCCCCGCACCCCGTCTTTTTGTAAATAAAGCTTTATTGAAACGCGGCCACGCACACTCATTCCCGTATTATCCGCGGCTGCTTTGCACCAGGACGGCAGCGTGGATGAGCAGAGATAGAAACTGTGCGGCCCGCACAGCCCCAAAAACTCTCCTCTGGCTCTTTAAAGGAAAAGCCTGCCAACCCCCGATCTGGAAGGTCACCAGTGTTACCTGCTTTACCATCCTCTGTCCTCTCGGAGACGAGGAGAGGACAGTTGCACATCGCGAGTGTGACTGTTGACCATGGGGGTTGGGGGACCACGCAGCCCCTTCCCGGACACACCTGCTCTCCTGGGTGTCTCCTCGAGGGGCCCCAGCTGTGGGGTCTGGACTCCTCAGCAGGCCCCCGCCCACGTAGCACTCCTTCCTGGGGAGTTTGTCCTGTGGTGCTCAGCTCGCCGGGCCTTCTTACCTGAGGAAAAGATGAAAACCTCCAAGACTTGATAGAGAAGGAGGTTATAGGATCTCCCACCTGTGGCTTGTGGCTTATGTACACAAATAAGAAATCAATTTGATATTCAACAAACATGTGTTGAGAACCTGCGGTGGGAGGGCACTAGGATGCAGCCAGGGAGTTGATGTTTGCTTTCTAAAGGTTTGTAAAGCTTTGAATATCTTGTTTTGAGTATTAAATCCAAGCAATTTAAAATGTAAATGTACTTAAAAGAGTCTAAAGTTTTAAATCAAAAGATGTGTGTTAAATCTGACATAAAATAGTTTTTTTAATACAAATGCTTAAGCTGGAGATGAGAACCAATAAAAGGATTTGCGTGCTGTGTGTACACACGTGGGATAGGAGAAGCCTTCTGTTTATCAGTGAAATAAAATCTGTTACATGAATCATTTATGACTTTCCCAGGAGCACATATTTGCTCTGAGTTCAGTGACAGTTTACCTATGAATCTTTTTTTCCCCTCTTTTTGAAGAATGCATTGTTTCTGCCTTTTTTAATTATAGGCATAGATTTCAGGGCTTTTGGTCTCTCACAGATACGGCTTCTCATTTATCTAAAAGGTTCTTCCTTTCATGTAAAGTGAATTGGTTATTCCAGCTAGTTACGTAACCATTGAGCGGGGGCCGGGCTGCGGTGTGCTCACCTCTCGGGACAGTCGTCCTCGGGGCCATCGCCGTGGGGCACGCGGGGGTCATCCTGTCACTTGCGTCCTCCTGCCCTGCCACCTCCACACTTGTCCCCCTCAGAGCATCCACTTTGCATCGCTGGAAGCCCCGGGACACAGCCGCACAGCCAGCACCCCTCCCCAGAGCTTCTCCCTCTGTACACCGGCTGAGAGGGGGCCGAGTTGCTGCTGATACATTTGAAACGTCTGTCCTCTTGGTTTTGCAGGAGGGTGAGCCTCTCCGACTCCGTGCCCCCTGCTCAGGTCAGCCGGGCTCCGCCCTGCGCATCCTTGCTTGTGTTCATGAGAAGCTGGCTTCTCTTCACTGGGCCCAAGAGCAAAACCTGGACAATGAACGGAGATACTTGTATTTTCTTAAAATGGGAATTTATTTCTCATCATAGAATTAATTCAGTTGGAATCTCCTGAGTTATTTTGTTCACCTATACTAGAAAATAGAACGTCTGAGTTGATTCAGAAACACTGATTATTATATCCACAAACTAAAGAAAAAGTGTTTTGTAAAATCCAGGCTTAAAAACACCCATCTTATGTTTTAGGACAGCTTAAAGCAAAGGGAAGTGTGGAGTGCCCACCAAAACAGGCTGGGATAAAGGACGTTCCTGGTGAGGAGGGTCTCAGGAAGGATGAGGGGGCCCCTGTTTTCATCTGCTGTGTGGATGTCACACTGTGCTGCTTGGAAACACACCTGCCAGGTAGACTTTCCTGTACCTGGTAGACTGGTGAAAGCAGGGGTCTGCAGGCACCCAGGGGCTGGGATCCTTGATTAAAATATGTAAATAAATAAAAAATCAGTTTAAGGGCAGTCCCTAAATTAAGAAGTTAAGAGTTTGTTGCGGCATGATGTGTGATCATCAGTGTGAGAGTTCCGTCATCCTCTGGTAGCTTGATTTGCTGCAGAAAAAATCGCCATTGGTTTTCGAGATATTACTGAGATTTTTATCAGAAAGGTTGGCCTGTGTGCATGATATTTCTTTTTTTGGGTGTGAGAATAAGGAGCCTGGGAATTGTGTCCATCTTTGACAGATGGGAGTGAGTGAATTGTAATTTCAGAAAAAACAAAACCGCCACTGCCTGCTACCCGTGCCCCAGTCTGGGCGCTGCAGGCTGATCACTTGGAGGAGGTCGTGGGCCTGTGAGACAGCGTAGTTTAGGGAGGAAAGTCTGTTTGTGCTGAGTGAAATCCTAGGAGAGCGAAGTATATCTTGCAAGTTCTGTATTCCTTCATAAATACATTTGTTATAAATAAAATAGACTGAGGCAGCACCCAGAGGTGCTGCCTGCCGAGCAGACTGAGTAACGTAAGGACGCCTCACTTTAGGCTGGTTGTTCTTCAGAGGGACAAGGTCAGGAACCCAGATGTGTCCTGAGATGCCCGTGGGCCATCCCCACGGCCAGACCGTCCTCAGGTGCTGGAGGTGTTAGAGAGGCACCTGCGAGTAGAGCTGTTCCGATCCGTCTCGGAGCTCCGCGTCTTCCAGGGTGGCGGCCGCATCTGCGCGTGGACACAGCTGTTGGCGGAGGGAACCTTTCCAGGGACCAAAATGCCCTTCGTAGAAACACTGTGAGAAAGAAGCCTCGTAGGGTCACGCTTGAACTCCTCACCCTGGGGCTTGTAAGACCAGTGTAAACTGGCTCTTGGGAGCCAATTATTTTTCAGAAAGGAACTTTGAAAAACTCAAAGGTGGGTTCCCTGCTGGGAATGGCGCCCCCCCAGCAGACCCTTCCTGGCACCCCCAGTCGGCAGCTCCTCTGTGGCGGGGGCGGGGAGGCTGGGAGGCTGGCCCCAGGACTCACTGCAGCGCGCGAGACTGTTCCCATCGTGCTCCCTCGTTCCGTTGAGAGAGCTTTTCAAAGGGCATGTATGGCCCACTGGTGGGCGTGAAATAATTTAGTGGGTTGCAGCTAGCATTTTCAAAAGTAAAATAGAGTAAAACAGAAAATATCCGGGTGCATTGTGATCAGGGCAGATGTGGTTTTGAGATCCCTGTTTTTAGGGATGTGCACACGTACACAAGTGTCTGTGCAGAAGAGGTAGGGTGTAAGGATGTGTTTCCTACTGTGTTTCCTTGTCCAAGTTCGAAAGCCACTCTGATAAAAGATTTATTAGTTTTCAGCAAAAACTTTAAAAAGCATCCATTCTGAAATTCAGTCATTGCTGCACTTTGCCTCATCTTATTTGATTCTTGGGAGAGATTCTGAGAAATGCAGTTGTAGGATCCCTGTTAAACTACCAGGACTCCTATTTCCTGTGTGAAGGGATTTTTTTTTTTTCCTGGAACTCCTTCATTGAGCTGACAGAAGGCCTGTATTGTAAACATTTAATTACCATTATTATAATTGTTATAAATTGATATTAAAATCACTTTTGTTTGCTTAATTGAAGACTTTCTTTTTCAGGTTTCCTTGCTGCAGAATGAAAGTGTAGAAAAAAACAAGAGCATACAGAGTTTGCACAACCAGATATGCAGCTTTGAAATTGAAATTGAGAGACAAAAGGAAATGCTTCGAAATAATGAATCCAAAATACTTCATTTACAGGTAAGAAGCTTAAAGATCATGTCTGGATAAAAGGGAGCACATCTGCGTTTCCCTCCAAGACTTTCTCAGGGAGATATTTGAGCAAAAGCCCTGACCTTTGTCAAACAAGGCAACTTGTTTCTCTTGCTTAAGTGAAACTCAGGGAAGGTGGCCTGGGTTTGCGGGCCGACCTGGGAGGCTGTAGGCACCTCTCCTCTCGCCTTTTCCCGGGGGCCCAGCCCCATCACCTCTCCTCTGTGCCTTTGGTTCATTGTTGGTGAAATAAGACTCAGAGCCTGTGTTTCTAAAAATTAGCTGTTTTATTATTATTATTTAAGATTTCATATTGTTCATGAGTAGTTATGTGTAAAGTTTCACTTCCTAAAGTGAACTGAAGCCAAACTATTTTGTTCTGAATCTTCTAGTGATGCACGTACACAGTCACCTTATTCCACCACAGTGAACCACAGCTACCTCCAAAATAAACACATAAACCTTTGCTGCTCCCGAAAAAGCTGGTGTATAAATAAGCCTGATTAAAATGTGGCTCCTCATTTCTGTTACCAACACAGGCTTCCATTAGGTGCTTGTTACAGATTATTCTTCTAGACACTGTCTTCACATCAGCTTACTCAGAGTGTACCTTGGTGATGGTAATTCTGGTGTGTATCACACACGCCCGTGGGAGAATCACATGTTGCCGAAATGGTCTTTCAGTGCTCGTACTTAACAGTGTTTCCCTAAATTATCTGGAAGAGAAAATATTTCTAATAGCTCAGAGTCACGGCATCTTTGAGATTGTCTTTCCTCCCATTTTAATGTTGAGATTCGTTATAGTGCCTTGAATTGCATAGGGATTTATTAAGTTAACTTCATTTGTATTAAACTCTGTGGTTGTCCCAAGACAAGGAAAAACACAATGAACCATTAGATTGTAGTAGAAAAGATACAAGTCATAAGTATTGAATCAAGTCAGAAAAGTACAGTGTCACGTAAAACACCACAAGCCTCCTACGGGAAGTCTGTGGCGTTTTGCTGAGGCCTCGGAGGTGCTGGTCAGCGTGTCCAGACAGAGGCCTGTGCTGCCATCCGGTAAGCAGGTCCAGCCGTGCACAGGGTGGCCAGGGCTCAGCGGGGTGCGTGGAAAGGCCGAGGAAATTACGTTATGCTAGAGAACCACTTGTTAAGGCATACTGACAGCAGAAGGAAGAATGAGTAAGTAGTGGGTGGTTGGCTTTTTTTATATTTAATTCTTATTTTAATGTTGTGGTTTCCACAGTTTTTTTTTTTATTGAAGTAGAGTTGATTTACAGTGTTGTGTCAGCTGCTGCAAAGCGACTCAGTTATACACGCACACATTCTTCTTCATATGCTTTTCCATTATGGTTTATCACAGGATATGCTGAATATAGCTCCCTGTGCTGTACTGTAGGACCTTGTTGATCCATTCTGTATACAATGGTTTGCAACTACTAACCCCAACCTCCCATTCCATCCCTCCCCCATCCCCTCCCCCTCGGCAACCACCAGTCTGTTCTCTATGTCTGTGAGTCTGTTTCTGTTTCGTAGGTATGTTCGTTTGTGTCATATTTTAGATTCCAAATGTAAGTGGTATCATATGGTATTTGTCTTTCTCTTTCTGACTTCACTTAGTGTGATAATCTCTAGTTGCATCCATGTTGCTACAAATGGCATTATTTCATTCTTTTTTATGGCTGAGTAGTATTCCATTGTATATATGTAGTAGTGGGTGCGTTTATAACCAAAAAACATGAGAGTGTCCATAATGAGGTCATGGATGCACTCGCCTGACACTTTGGAGACTTTACATGCATTCCTCCCCTCCATTCCCCACTTCCAGCATGAAAAGTTGGAATTTACTTTAATCATTGCACTGTGCGTGATTCACGTTTTAAAACTTCCACGATCGAAGAAACCACTGAGATCTAAGTCAGAGAGATCCAGCTCCAAGCTGCGGAGCCCGGGGAGGTGAAGGCTGAGCAGTGCCACGTCTGCAGGCGGCGGTGGCCCGCGCCAGCGCTCTTTTCCTCCTCCTTGGAAGGCAGGCACGGAGGAAAGTAGGCTGCATTCCAAGAGAGGGACAGAGGTCAGGAACAGGGGCTGACGGGCTGGAAACCCCTCCGGATGGCTGACCGTTTCCCGATGGTTTACATGGAACCACATCCCCTGGATGATCTCAGGGTCGGTAATGTTCGTCACCATGGTTGCCAGCGCTGAGAGGCGGCCTGGACCATCCGCCTCTGAGTGAACATTGATGGCGGCCCTGCGGGCTGGGGCTGGAGATGCCGGCTCTGAGTGGGGCTCTCCCTCCCGTCCCTCCCGACCTCCCCCCACCAACCCCCATTTCAGCAGAGCCTGGCTCAGACCTGCCCCTCGGTCCTCACCCTAGAAATTCCAGCTTTACCTGAGCACTATACAGTGGCTCAGGACACCACCACCATGACTGGCCGCTGTTCCTCGCTGCTGCCTTTGCCACTCTCTCCGCGGCAGAATGGACCTTCCCTCCCCACGTCCTTTCCTCAGGCACCTCAGATGGCACTGTAAATGCCACCTCCTCCAGGGAGCCTTCCCCACCCTGTGCATTGGACCACCTGGATGGTGACAGACCTGTCCCTCTCTGTGTCATCTCCTCCCTTGTCTGAGTCTCCAGTCGACCCTAAATCCTGAAGACTGGCTTGTACAGGAGTCCACACAGAGTGCAGAGCTCCTGATGGCCCCAGATAGGGCGGATGGGATGCAGTCAGAGTTGTGCAAAGGATGTGGAACTTAAGAGTGGGTTAGCTTTTGCCAGCCATGGAGGGGTAGTTTCTTAATATTTTACTTTGTAAAGAACTTTTTTTTTTTTGGCCATGCTCTGCAGCATGTGGGATCTTAGTTCCCCGACCAGAGATTGAACCTGTGCCCCCTGCAGTGGAAGCACGGAGTCTTAACCACTGGACCACCAGGGAAGTCCCTTTTTTCTCAATTTAAAAAGACAGCCTAGGGCTTCCCTGGTGGTGCAGTGGTTGAGAATCCTCCTGCCAATGCAGGCGACACGGGTTCGAGCCCTGGTCCGGGAAGATCCCACATGCCGCGGAGCAACTAAGCTCGTGAGCCACAACTGCTGAGCCCGCATGCCTAGAGCCCGTGCTCCGCAACAAGAGAAGCCACCGCAATGAGAAGCCCGTGCACTGCAACGAAGAGTAGACCCCACTCACCACAGCTAGAGAAAGCCCGCGTGCAGCAACGAAGACCCAACACAGCCAAAAATAAATTAATTTATTAAAAAAAAAAGAAGACACCACTGTGCTTCCCTGGTGGTGCGGTGGTTGGGAGTCCGCCCACTGATGCAGGGGACGTGGGTTCATGCCCCGGTCCGGGAGGATCCCGCATGCCGCGGAGCGGCTGGGCCCGTGAGCTGTGGCCGCTGGGCCTGCGAGTCCGGAGCCTGTGCTCCGCAACGGGAGAGGCCACAACAGTGAGAGGCCCACGTACCACAAAAAAAAAAAGAAGACACCACAATGAGAAGCCCACGCACCACAACCAAGAGTAGCCCCCGCTCGCCGCAACTAGAGAAAACCCACACGCAGCAACAAAGACCCAACGCAGCCAAAAATAAATAAGTAAAATAAATAAACTTAAAAAAAAAAATGTAAAAAAAAAAAAAAAAAAAAAGAGAAGACAGCCTAGATGTGAGCTTCATTCCCGTGTTGCATTGTTAGCAGGAGCTGCACTCCTGGGCGCTCCCACAGTCAGTGGCTCTGCCAGGCTGGAGCGGGAGCGCTCTGTCCGCTGGGCCCGGGAGTCCCACCCACATCGGCTCGGTGACCAGATGGTGCCAAGTGACAGACGGCGATTTAAGCCCTAAGTGCACGAGCATGAGACTGATGCTCTGTGAGCAGGTCTCCTGATCAGGGTTTATTCACATAGTGTGTGATCTGTGCTGTTTCTCTCAGCTCCTGAATCCTTCTTTCTAGTAAAATCCTCACCTGCATTTAAGATTTGTTTTTTATAGAAACACTACAGGGGCTGAATGT